AGGAAGCAGATTAGTGTTTGCCTCGGGATGGGAAAACGGTAAGCAAATTACAAAAGGGCAAGAGAAAACTGTTGAGGGTGATGGGTATGTCCATTAGATTGTGGTGACCATTTCATGGGTGCATGCATAGGTCAAAACTTACCAAACTGTACACTTTAAATAACAGGCACTTTATTGTATGACAATATACTTTAATTAATATTTTTTTACAAAACATCACCAGAAATCTTCATTTTCTTAATTATGACCATCATTAACACACCACTGACTAAATATGGGGCACTCTGCTAATCCTAAGACTGTCTTTCCCTGCCCTTGAGGAGACAGTTTTGGGAGGGAATGATATTAAAAGTAAGTAAAATCCTGAGGAATTTTAGATGGAATTGAGAGGAAAAAATGTTCTTAGAAACAATTACTGCATGAATTACGTTGGATCTTTAAGTAATTTAGATGCCTATGTAAGAACTTGATAGTGGGGTTATTCCACAATGTTTACATATGAAATAGTCAAGTTATACACCTGAAATATAACCTATTAAAAAAATCAGAAGCTTCAAAGAAGGAAGTCATTTTTTTCTGGCAAAGAATAATCATCCCCAGGTTGTAACTTTCTTCAGTTCATTTTAGTTTGACTTTCTGATATTCTTAATGTGTTTATAAAGTATAGGAATGGTGAATTCTTTTTTTTTTTTTTTAAATCCATGTAATTCACCAGTATTAACAAAAGAGAAGAATCCATAGAATCACCTCAAAAGATGGAGGGGAAAAACCATATAACATCAATTTATAAGAAAAATTTTTAGTAAACTATACATAAGAGGTAACTTCTACAACCGATAAAGGGCATCTACAAAAAACTACGTTAGCTAACACAATGCTTAACAATGAAAAACTGATCTCTGTGACTGGGAACATGGCAGAGATATTCACTAATTTCTCTCCTATTCAACATTGTACTGGAGGGACCTAATCAGAATAGTGAGGAAGAAAAAAAAAGTTGAATACAGATTGGAAGGAAATAAAGCTGTCTTTATTTGTGGATGACATCAATATGTACAAGAAAATCCTAAGAAATCTACAAAAAAATCTATTAGAACTAATAAGTAAATTTAGTAAATTTACAATATACAAATTCAATACACAAAGATTGATTTTTTTATATGTAATAGTAACAGACAACTGGAAAATTAAATTAAAAAGTCACAGTAGTGTCAAAAACCATAAAATATTTGGAGATATTGAATGAAATATGTGCAAGACTTCTCTGAAAAGTACAAACTACTGCTGAGAGAAACTAAACAAGCCCTAAATATACTTGGGGAAATATACCATGTTCATGAATTGAAAGACAATATTACTGTAATGATTCTCACCAAATCAATCTCTAGATTCAATATAATACCAAACAAACTCCAAGTTGCACTTTTTGGTAGAAATTAGAGAAGACTCTAACATTAATATGGAAAAATAAAGTTCCTAGAATAGCCAAATATTCTTAAAAAATAACAATATTGAAAAACTAAGAGTAGCTAATTTGAGACTTACTAGAAAGCTTTCAGTAAGCAAGACCATGTGGAATAGGCATAAAGATAAACAAACAGACCAACGGGAGAGAAAAATATTCATACTTACACATTCAAATAACTTTCCACAAAAGTACCAATGCAATGCAATAGGAAAAGACAACCTTTTCAACACATGGTGTTGGAATAACCAGGTATCTGTATGGAATAAAATGAATCTCAACTCATGCCTCACATCATTTGCAAAAGTTAACTTGAAATACATTACAGATGTAAAGGAAAAAAGCTAAAATTATAAAGCTTCTAAAAGATAATAAAGGAGGATATCTTTACCACCTTGAGGTAGGCAAAGACATCCTTGAGATAGAACCCAGGAAGCACTAACTATAGAAAAAAAATGATACACTGGACTTCATCAAAATGAAAGATATCTGTTCATCAAATGATACATATGAAAATCAACTGGCATGCCAGAGACTAGGAAAAACTACCCACAACACATATATATGACAAAGAACCCAGACCAATTGGAATATATAAAGAACTCCTCCAACTTAATTATAAAAAGACAAACAGCCCAGCCAAAGCACTGGGCGGAAGACTTAAACAGATAATTTCCAAAGTAAAATATGTAAGTAGCCAATAAGTAAATACAAAGATGTTCAACATCATCAGTCATCAGGAAAATACAAATTAACACCACAGTGAGAATCCACTATCCCCTCACTAGAATAGCTAGAATGAAACAGACCAACACCATCAAATGTTGGCAAGAACACGGAGCAAGTGGAACTCCCAGACACAGCTGGTAGGAGTGTAAGATGCTATGGTCATGTGGAAAATGGCGTATCACTTATTAAAAAGTTAAACATACTATTCCCTATGACCCAGTAATTCTATTCCTTGGTATTTATCCAAGAGAAAGGAACACATATGCCCACAAAATCCTCATATAATTTCATAGCAGCTTTATTTATAATAGCCCAAAGCTGGAAACAACCCAAATTAACAGGTAAATGGCTAAACAAGTGCTATTTTCATACAATAGAACACTGCTCAGAAGTAAAAAATGAAAAACTGATACATATGATAACGTTATGAATCTTAAAAGCATTCTGCTGAGCAAAAGAAAACAGACATAAAAGAATACAGATTCTGTAACACTAATTCTAAGAATTTCTTCCACAGTCAGCCTATGTCCTTACAGACACTCACCAGACCCAGGGTCTCAAGTCCCAGCCCTGGACACCACCCGATGAAGCCCTCAAGTCCAGCCCCTGCCTCCACAAAGAGTCCACTGGTACAGAAATCTCTAGAACCAGACAGATGCCACTTGCAGGAGCTATCTCTTGGTAAGCCTTGGATAAAACAATTCTCTGTTGAATCTAGGCTAAATCTCTCATGCTGTATTTTAAACACAGATGATCCCTGAGTCCCCAGACTTCAGTGGGTAACAGAGAGATTCATTCAACAAGCTGATACAGAAAGAAAGGGCGTTCATAACAGAAAGCACAAGAAAATGAGGAACAGAGAAAGAAAGGCAGACAGCCCTTCAGGAGAGATGCACCAGGCTGACAGGGAAAAACTTAGGGTGCAAGAGACACACCCCTTTCTGCTGTACCACCTGACACGGGATATAGGATAGATATAGCTTCATGGTTGAATGTGAGGTGGGGAGCCTGCCTGCCAGAATTCAAGGCCAAGCTCCCCATCTTACTAACTCCATGGCCTTACTCAACTTGTTCCAGGAAGCACTGAAGATAGTCTCCAAAGGCTGAACCAAAGGTTGCAGTCTGGCCTTGTAACTAACACCTCACTGAAAGTGCATTCTGGGTAGCATCCGTTCTGGGCACCAGGCAGCAGGACAGTCGCTGCTTCACTGGAGAACACAGACATGGCTGCCCTGTACCTGCTGTGAAAAGCTGGATCCCTCGAGGGGTGCAGGCCATGGTGTTCAAGCCTCACCACAGCCCTGCTGCCTGGGCATCAGTACCACAAGTGGGTCAACTGAATGAGCTGGTGCCCACCCAGTGGAATCTCCACATCCTCTCTCCCCACACAAGATCTGGCTCTATGGTGGGTACTGAATGACCCATGCAGCCCAGGCTGGGAGGCGGAATAGGTTCTTCCAGTGAGGCCATAGCAGGTATCTCATGTCAGAGATGTCTATAACCCAGATCCTGGGCTGAAAATATCTTAAGAGCTTTCACAGATGGGCAACTGGAGCCCAGAGAAGGAGAGCAACAGGCACGAGGTCACACAGCAGTCAGGGGCAAGCTGGCATGAGAATCCCAGCCCAGTGTTTGACCTCAGGGCTGGAGTTCTTGTCCACGGGGAGACCCCTCAGCACCTGCCACTCTGCCCAGCAGGGAAGAATTCCCGGGGAAGCTACCGACACCACCCTCCAGGCTCTGACTTCTCCCTCCCTATCCGATAGCCTTGGTATTCCAACAGCAGGGCTCCAGGAGGGACTTGGGCCTTCCTAGACTATAAGTGGCTTTGAGCCCCCAGTGACCTCTCTCTCTGTTTGGACCTAACTCTTCCCATCCACAGAATGGGGAGTGGGATTCCCACAGCTCAGCTGTGAAGAACAAAAGCAGTAACACTCCCCAAAAGGCTGCTAAACATCCAGCCCTATTGCCCTGAGACTCTGCACAAGCCCTGCCCCTGTCAGACTTCGGTTTCCACACCTGCACACGAAGCGGAGGATAGTTGATGGGCCTCCCAGCTCAGATACTTGGGGATCCAAGGATGGAGTCCCCTCTAATATTCAGAAGAGGCGGAGGGAAATCAGCAAGGTAGGCTCATGGGCACCAGGAGGATGGAAGGCCAGGATGTCCCTGTGGGAAGGACCTTTAAAGCTCTTTCCTTTCCCAGTCAGAGAGGGAGATGGTGACCCAGAGACAGGATGGGGCCTGCTGCAGGTCACAGGCAGGCCTGGGACTCAGCAGGGATTGACAGCCAGGGCTTGGCTCCCAGCTCAGGGTTCCTGCCACCTCCTTAGCTTCCCACCATCAGGGGCCAAGAGGGAGCTGTCCTGTCCAGTTAACCATGCCCCTAACCTGGGCTCCTTCCTGCATCTGTTCAGACTGAAGCTGCATCATGGGGCACTGGCTTTGGGGATGGAGAGCCATAAACCTTGTGATGGGGAAGCACCTAAAGGAGGCAGGGCTGGGACCACAGCAGGACTTGGACAAGCGATGTCTACCCCCCTCCCCCAATCACGTGGGCACAGGCCTCTGAGTTCACTAAGAGAGGGCTCTGACTCTGCTCTTGCTTAAGAGGGGAGCTTCTCAGCTATTTTGGCCACTGTGAGCAGGTGGCCCTGGGTCAGATTTAGACACCTAAAAGCTGAGCCAGAACTGTGCTCACCTTACTTTCACCATTTCCTGGCCAAGCTCCAGAGGCCTGGCTAATGGCTGGCCCACTCTGTACCCGGCCCCCCAACCCCCATCCCCACCGGGAGGAGGTACTCACTGATGGGGGCATGTAAGGCCACATGCTCCTGGTAGGGAGTATAGTACTTGTACTGTTTCCCACAGAATTCACAGGTGTAATTGCCAGTTTCTGTCCAGGAAAAAGATGAAGATGTAAGAACAGGCAGCCGGCCCCGACCAAGGAGCATCAGCGTGCTCTCACCCCCCAGGATAACTCCTCCCCATTCTGGGACCACCAGCTAGAATCAATTCTGACTCTGGAGTTAGAAGGCCCCTATTCAAATCCCAGCTCAAGACACTTCGAGCTGGGTGGCCTCGGGCAAGTCTCTTAACCTCTCTGTGCCTCAGTTTTCCTATCTGTAAAAGAGGGGTCATAATAGGACCACCTTGTAGGATTGCTGTGAGGATTAAATTTAGATAGCAAGTGCTTAGAACAGTACCTGGCACATCGCTCCACCCCAACCCCGGTGCTCAGGAAATGTGCTGACCTCCAACACCAACCTCATCATGAGCCCCTTCGCAAGCCCTGCCCTCTGCAGTGGCCACACCCGGGGTCCCCTCATCTCTAGGACCTTCCCTGCCCCCAAGCACCCCCCACCCACTAGCAGCAGGGGTCACTTCTTCCTCTCAAGTCCCACCCGACTTTATCTTTACCTCTCTTTTGGCACTGCCTAACTTCTTTCTTCTTAAAAATGTCTGATGTAATATTGTTCACTGGGGGAAAATTATAAAATACTGATAAATACAAACACAAAATCAAAACTAAAGAGAAATTTCAATCATCTGTAATCCCCAAACAAACAGCAGCATCTGCCCCCCTCGGGGAGGGTGCCCTGGTCCCCACTCTTTACTCTGTCTCATCTGGGGTGTGCTGCTCTCACTGATACCACCTGTCTGGCCTCTGTGAGCCCTGAATTAGCCAGTCCTGATCAATACCCTCTTTGTAATCTGGTGTATTGAATTGACATTACTTTGTGGACATTTGCGCAATCGATATTGATCTCTACTGCATATATTGGCTGCACGGTTCTCACTGGACTTTGGAATTTGCTGAGCCAATCTCCTACACCAAGGGACACTGAGATTGTTTCAAATTTTTTTTCCTATTAAAAAAATGCTGTGACTCATGTCCTTATAGAAATTTTTACATTCACCCATTAGTTTTGCACATTATCGCAAATTAAAGGCTTTTCCACATAATCTTTGCAAGTTATTTCCTGGGGAAAAATTCAAGCGAGGGAAAGGGTATGTATTTTTAAGGCACCATCATCCCAACCAGAAAGGTGTGAAAATACCTGTGTGTGCGCACTGCAGCCAGCATTAAGTATATCACCTTCTTAATTTTGCCTATCTGATGAGAAGAAATATATTCCACTACTGATTTCCTTTTCCATTTCTTTGATTGCTATGGAAATTGATTATTTTTCATGTTTAATTAACTATCATTTTTCTTTTGTGACTTTCCTTTTGTGTTTATAGCCAGCATTTCTACAGGCATACTGACATTTATGAAATTACTAAACTCTTTGTAGATTAAGGATATCAACATTTTGTTATACACGTTAAAATTTTTTCTTAATTGGTTTATTAGTCTGTTTACAGTTTTTCTCTCCCGCTATAGAAATTTTAGTAGTTAAATAACTGTTGTAACTGGTTCATAAACATTGGAAAAGGTAAGTTATTTGCTCTTTGTAGGATTCACTGTTATTAGATAAACTGTATTAAATATATCATTTAAATTCTATACAATCTTGTCTGCTCGCTCTGTGAAAGACTAAAGATTGTGATAAAACCTTCCACTTCACTATATTTCGAAATTTATTTTGTATATTTGGGAACAATGTTGCTTGATGCATAAAGGCTCATGGGATCAAAATCTTCACTGTGAACTCAATTTAGTAACATAAAACTGTTTTCCAACAGAGTGCTTCTCAAAGTGCGGTCCCTGGACCAGCAACATCAGTATCACCTGGGAACCTGTAAGAAATGCAAATTCTTGGGACTCACCTAAGACCTACTGAAAATAAAAATTCTAGGTGTTGGGTCCAGCAATCCGTGTTTTAACAAGCCCTCCAGAAAATTCTGATGCAAGGGAAAGTTTAAGAACTCGTGCTGTAATATTTAATTATTCCATTTTATTAGTTTATCTGGCATAAATAATTTGATAATTTGTCAGATCCTGATTTCTACTTGTTTACATGTAACTAAAGACATGTCCCTGTATTTTCTCATTACTGTCATTCATTAAACAGGTACTGTGCTAAGTGCTGGTACAAAATGCTGAGCAAAAACAGGCAAAGTTCCTGCCTTCAAGGAGTTTATAGTCTAACAAAAGGAGATTGAAAAATCAGAGTCACTCAAACAAATTTAAAACTCCATCCACAGTAAGGGCTCTCAAGGAGACATATATAGTGCTCTAAAAACCTATAATAGGAAATTTGCTCTAGTTCTGGAAGTAGGAAAGAGAAGCTCAAGTGCAGAGTAAAGATAAGGAATTAACCTTGTCTCTAATAAACCATTAATAACTGGATTACTTTAAATCAACCTGACAAGCTTTGCCTTCTAATAAAGGAGATTATGCCATTTGCTTTTATTGCTATGATTGATTTGGTTTTATGAGTCTTCTTCATGCTCCACCCTTTCTGATTGCTGCCTTAATTCCTAGTTGTTTGATATATGAACTCTTTATTTTTTCATTATTCTCTGATATTCCATTATTTTCCAATATTCTCTGTTGTTATAGACAGTATATAAGATATATTTCTCTAATTGTTAATAGTCAAATGGGAAATAACATTTTAAAGTCTATCACCATTGAGAAAGGTAGTATAAACCAATGTTTCTCAAAGTTTAGCATGTAAAAGAATCATCTAGAAAGACTGTTACAACACAGATTGCAGGGATCCACCCAGGAAATTCTGATCCTATAGGTCTGGAGTAGGGCCTAAGACTATACATTTCCAATAAGCTTCCAGAAACGTTGATCTGCCGGTCTGGTGCCACAGTATGAGTACGACTGGCTTAACCTACTTTACTGTATCCCTCACCAATTCCTCCTTCCTTTTTTAAAGAAAACCCTCATTTTTAATAGTTTAAAATAATGTTCTTTCTGCAATTTTATAATCAGATTTAGAACATTTTAAACTAACTTCTACTTTATCTGGTTTTACTACTCACAATTCCTCTTATACTATGAATTTCTCACAATTGAGCCTTTAAATGCATTTTACAACTTAGTTCATCAGAGCCTATCTTCAAATAACTTTGTGAAGATGGGTATATAGAAAAAAAAAAGTATGTGTTTTAAGCCCACCCTTTTCTCTTTACACACAAACCACAATTTGTCTAGACTACAACCTTTTCCCTTCAAAACTTATCCATTATCTTCTAAGATTTAGTATTGCAGAGAAGTCTGAGTCAAGTCCACCTTGAATTCATGGATAGGTAACTTGCTTTTTCAAGCCTGGATGCCTTTGTTTCCCCTTTACAGTCACTGAGATCTATTTAGGTACAGGTCTCTTTATACCAACTCTATCTGACACGATGAGCCTATTAAATCTGCATATACAGATCTTCCTTTAGCTGAGCAAAGTTTTCTTCTACTAGATCTTAGGAGTGCTAAGTTTCTCACCACTGGTACTATAGCATCAATTATCTGAAACTGGCTGCCTGTTCTCCCTATTTAGCATATTTTCCTTTCATTATCTTCATCTGTTCAAGTTCGTTCTTCATATCACTACTTCCAATTCTGCAGATAAACTCGACTGTTTACTATACAGAATGTAGGTTTTAATTCTGTTCTTATGTTTTCTGCTTTCCTGAAATCCTTCCGTGTCTCACTCCCCTCTCTTTATCTTCTTATTCTGTTGCTTTTTCACCATACAACTTACGGGTCCTTTTTCACAGGGGTCATGCTATGGACTGAACTGTGTCCCCATCCTCAAATTTACATGTTGAAACCCTAACTCCTAATGTGATGGCATGGGGAGATGGGGCCTTTGGGAGGTAAGCAGGATTAGATGAGGTCATAAGGATGAGGCCCCCACCATGGGATTAGTGCCCTTATTAGAAGAAAGGCCAGAAAGCACTCCGTCTCTCTCACATCATCATGTGCAGACACATGGTGGCCATGTGCAAGCCAGGAGGAGAGCCCTCAACAGAACCCAGCCATGCTGGCACCCTGATCTCAGGCCTTCCAGCTTCCAGAACTGTAAGAGATAAATTGTTTAAACCATCCAGTCTACAATATGTTATTGTGGCAGCCTAAGTGGACTGTAAGACAGGTCATATTTCCTTATCGAGAAGGCTGTCAAACAGCATGGTCTTCTAGATTTTGTGGTAGGTCATTTTCAGAGGTGTGCTCTTCTCTGAGTCATGTAAATTCTCTTTTTCTTGTTATGTGGAATTTACACAGTTCTCTCATTTTTTTTTTTTAACTTTTCAAGTTACTCTTCCTTATTCAGGCATAAAAATCAAGTAACCCATCCATGACTCCAGACTTAACTCTGTCTCGACAGACCACACAAACGAATTTTCCTTGATTCTCCCTCTGCCCATTAGCATGGAAGTTAATTCTTGGATCTGCAGATGAAGAGTGAGTTAACACATAAGGCTTCCTGGTCCAACTCTGTCTTTTCTAGCAGGATTCTCTGCGCTGTCACTGCCTGGGTTTCCTCCAACCTAAGTACCTAATTCTCTAATGTGCTCAGCTGATGCTGATGTGAAAGGTGTACTTCCCAGCACTCGCTCCTGCCAGGGTGCTTCCTCTTCGCCTGACTGCAAAGCTTTACTTGGGCAATAGGTCCCTTCAGAATACATGGCTCCTCTACTGGCTAATCCTGTTTTGGGTTCTGTGGCATTGGCCTGCTTATACAAACAGGAGCCGAAGAAGCAACATTTCTGTCTCACGAGCCAGCTCCTGAGTAGTAGCAAGGGATGGTCTCACACCACCCCAGCAATCACAGCTCCATTCAGTCCAGCTGGGAGCACGCTGGCAGTCAGATCCAGTCTGATTTTCTCAATGCAATCCTACACTCCTTATAATTTGTGATAATTCCTCCCAGGTCCTAGCGTTGGCTGTCTGTCAGACTTACAGACACACAGAACACGCTTCATCTTGTTCTGCCTCTTCCTGGGTAATTAACAAGTACCGCCTATTTAGTGCTTTGCATGCATATGTCAAGGACTACCCTAATTCTTTTACAAACATAATCTCAACTAAGCCCCGTGACAATCCTGAAAGGTGAGTTTTATTGTCATCACCCCACTTAACGAGTTAGAGAAACTATGGATTAGACAGATTAGAAAACTGGTAGGACATCATGCAGCTATTAAGTGCAGAGCTGGGAGTCTATTTGGGTTGGCTCTAAACTCTTGCCCTTCACTCTTTCTCAGTAACATGTCTCACTTACTACACCTTGGATATGAGCCAGGTGTTCGGCGAGACATCTTACGTGTGCGTGCTCCAACGGCACTGGAAAATTCAGAAACAGGCTTGTACCCAACTTATGGGACACTCACAGGGGTAAGTAGCTAGGAAGCTGGTGATGATGGCATTCAAACCCAGGCTTGATTCCAAAGCCCATCTTCCTAAAGACAATGGCATGGTTGGAAGAGCGGCAGTACACACTGGGACCACTGCCAGACCCTGGATAGATACTGAACAGGGAGGTCACAGATCTTCTGTTCCTGTCCTGCATCTGCCTACGAATGTCTGTCTTTCCTACCAGATTATGAATTCTTCTTTTTTTTCAGACTATGAATTCTTTGAATGCTGCAAATATGCCCGATTCACATCTATGTTTCCCCTGCAGCAACTAACTTCCTGTATTTGAGGGTTGAGCGTTTTGTCATATTCTTCATCTTTTTTTTGGAGATGGAATCTCACTCTGTTGCCCAGGCTGGAGTGGAGTGGTGCAACCTCGGCTCACTGACTGCAACCTCTGCCTCCTGTGTTCAAGCGATTGTCCTGCCTCAGCATCCTGAGTAGCTGGGGCTACAGGTGCGCACCACCACGCCCAGTTAATTTTAGTAGAGACAGGGTTTCACCATATTGGCCAGGCTGGTCTTGAACTTCTGACCTCAGGTGATCTGCCTGCCTTGGCCTCCCAAAGTGTTGGGATTACAGGCATGAGCCATCACACCCGGCCATATTCTTCATCTTTAAGATTATTTTAATGCTCCTATTTATCCAGTGTTTACTATGCATGTGACAAGCACTGTGCTAACCACTTTATAGACATTATCTCATCTTCAGTTTCCTGAATGCTTTCAAAAGAGTTAAGAAAAAAGCAAAGAATCATCCCATGACCACAGACAAGGGATGAGGAAGAAAAAGCATTTGGGGGAAGGGGAGGGGACCCACCCAACCCCTTCCGAGGGCTGGGACTGGGCTCTGCCCCAAAGAAAGTATCCAACTTAGCATTTCAGCTCCTCTGATTTTCCTTCACATAGATATCCTCATCTGCTTGTTCTGTTTTTGTGTATATTTTTCTAAGCTGCCTTAGATCCTTATTGGAAGGAAGCAGAGGCCATAAAGGTTTCTTCTTGCTGGGTAGCAAGTAAGGTACAGGAAACAGAGATAAACAGCAGGTGTGTCAATACCTGAATGGCTGGAAAGGACAAGTCTCACTCACTTGTCCCACCACACCTGCCCTAGGCTGGCCACCCGGACCCTCCCAATCCATCTTCCTTCTAGCAGCAAAATTGGGCTTACAAAAATGCAAACCGGATCAAGTTCCTTCTCCACTTAGTAAACTCTCTGGCTCATTTGCCTAGGGATGCTGCCTGCTGGCATTCAAGGCTCTGTAAGACTTGAGGCCATCATCGATTCTTGGGACCAGTACGGCTCTCCTGCCTTTGCATGGGATGCAGGGGCTCATGCCCTACCCTTGCCTCTACCCAAAAGCTTCCAGCACTCCCCCAGGCCCCCCATAGCTCCCTGCACACTGTGTTGGAACTAACTGTTCAATTATCTGCTGTCCCCACCCCCAAGCCCCATCTTAATTACCGAAGGGCAGGACCACACACATCCTGCTCCCTGCTATGTGCTACAACACTCAATACAAGTTTATCGAAAACAGGCCAGACAAGTGTGTGGCTCCTGCCCTCAAGGGGTTTCCTGGGACAGGGACAGAGTGTCTGCCTGTGGCTGCCCCTGAACTGCTCATTCGCTGATAGGCCCCTTCGGGTGACTATGACGTGTGATTTTCCGAGCACCTACTATGTACCAGGCACTGTGCTAACAAGTGGTTTACATCCAGGATCTCATTTAATCCCCCAACAAACCTGCGGGGAAATGTCATCCTCACTCCACAGGTGGGGAGGCTGAGGTTCAGGATGGCTAACAGACCATGAGGACGCCAAGCCTGTAAGCAGCAGCGCCAGGACTCAGCCCCAGCCTGGCTGCCTTCACTGCCCTGACCTTGACCCTGCGCTGCCTGCAGCTCCTCGAAAGCTCCAGTCCTGACTGGTGGGCACCATTGCTGCAGGTAAGGGATGCCACCCACCGCTACCCCTGCCCTAGCAGTGAGACTGAGCCCTGCTTTCCTTGGCCAGCCCCCACCCCGCCCTCAGCCCCAGAGAGAATCCCGCATACTTGGCCCGATTTTCTGGAATGGTTCCGGGGGCTCCTCCTTCACCTCGTCACTGGCCACAACACCTTGGTCGAAGGGGTCTGTGGGAGAACATATGGCCCTTAGTACCCTGGTCCCCCAGGTATCAGGAGCCCAGCTGGGGACAGGGGAGGTGATGAGCACCCACCAAGGACTTACCTGCCCGGTTCTCGGGGGCCCCTTCCACACTAAACACTGCGCCGGGGCGGGAGGCGGCAGCCGCAGAAGGAAAGAAGCAAACAGGAGCCCTGTTAGTCCCTGCTCAGAGCTGCCTCTGCTGCCGCTCCCAGCCCCTGGCCCCCTGGGATTGCCTGGAGGCCCAGAAGGGCTGCCCTGGCCACCATGGAAGCCCCCAAAAACCAGGACAACACGAGGGCACATCCGGACCAGAACACAACCTGGGCAGCAATCCCTCGTCCTCACTGGGACAGGCACCCACCCCAGCGCAGGCAGGCATTGTTTGCCTAGAACTGTTTCTGATTGCCAGCATGCCTTCAAGGGGCCAGGGCAGGAGAAGAGAGGAAGAGATTGGGAGGAGAGAAAAGAGGAGGTGAGAAAAGGGCTGGGCCAGTGGTAACAGGTGGTGGGCCTGGCTGTCACAGCTCGAGGCAGGCTGAGGGTGTGGGGCTAGACGGGGAACCCCTAAGTGCCTTCTAAGGTCACAGACCCTCTTTCTAGGATTCTTAAGATTCAAAAATGTGTTCGCTAAATGCATTGTTCTAATTTCTAATTCTCTAAGATGCTAAAAGGCCGTCATTCGTTTTTAAAAATCAGTTTAATTTCATCAGAACATGAAAATGCTCAATAGGAAACTATAACATGACTCAATATGAAATTCCAATATTCTACTGATTTTGACCTATAAAAATGGCAATTTCACTACTTAACCTAAATAGAAGTGTATGTGGAGTATGATGGGGACTTTCCCGCCCCCAGAATCCTGCAGGGCTGGTCACCCCCCTCGTGGTTCCGGCTGCTGCCTGGCCTTTTTCTGGGTAAGAGGGAGGAGGGAGGCAGGGAGGGCTGGGGGCTGTGCCTTGGAGGAAGGGCGCCTCTTAGCGTGACTCCAGGGAGTGAGGGCCTGACTCACCGTCCACTGCATGTAGGTCTCGATGCTCCTGGAAACAGCTGTAGTATTTGTACTTCTTCCCGCAGATGTCACATGTGTACCTGAAATTGTCTGCAAAGGATGAAAACACACACCTGGTTACCAGGGCAACAGTCATGTGGGGTGGGGTTTTTCTGGCCAGATCATCTCAGAAACCAAAGACGGGACTAGCCCAGTTTGGCTTCAACTGAATGACCCCAAGGAAAGTCAGTTCCTGAGCCAGTCTGTTCCCTGGCACTGCCCAAGTCTTCTGGACCATGGAAGGCCATGGCACCACCTACCCTCTGGAACGCCCAGCTTCTCCTCCCCGACATGCAGGAAGCTCTTGCCTCGGTGTTGGCCCCACCCTCTACCCCAAGCCAGCCCTGTATTGCCTCCTGGGTCCACAGGATGTAGGCTGGGCTGTCAGGGGTTCTCTGTGGAGATCCAGACCACACATCTGGTCCCACATGACTGGGAGCCCAGAATTGACTCCAAAATCAACCCTCAAACCTGCCCTAGGTGAGCTGAGTTCCTGAGGGCCTGATTCTTAAATGGCCTGGCACACCCTTCACAGAAGTGCAATCCCTGCAGCACCGAAGCCCAGGTGCTACCAGGAGCAAGACAGCAGGTCTGGCTCTTCCTCCGCATCTCCTCAATTCTTGCAGCAGAAGGAAGAAGCAGTCTCTCATTTTACACACGAGGAAACTGAGGATTAGAAGGGACTTGCCCCAAAGGCACAGCTGGGAGGGCCTGTGATGAGCGGCTTTGGGCACCACACCCAGGGCTCCTGGCCTCTTCATGCTCACACCCTCTATCACCTCTTCCCTGTGAGTCTGGGCTAGACCTGGTAACTGACTTCTAATGGACAGAATGCAGTAAACATGATGGAGTATCACTTCTGAGGGTAGCTTGCAAAAGATCATGACTTCTGTCTCAAGCATACCTTCTCTCTCCAGCTCACACCTGCTGGCTGCTGGCTTGTGAACTGCCCCATGAGAGACCCAGGTGACCAGGAGCTGAGGGCAGCCTCTGGTGAACAGCCAATGAGGTCCTCAGTCTAAGGCCCTGGGGAGGACAGAACTCTAGTAGGGTTGTAAACCCTGCTTAAAAACCGTGTGAGTGAGTTTAAAAGCAGCTCTTGGCCAGGCGAAGTGGCTGACACCTGTAATCCCAGCACTTTGGGAGGCTGAGGCAGGCGGATCACGAGGTCAAGGGATAGGGGCCAACATGGTAAAACCCTGTCTCTACTAAAAATACAAAAATTAGCTGGGTATGGTGGTGCATGCCTGTAGTCCCAGCTACTCGGGAGGCTGAGGTAAGGAAAATCGCTTGAACCGAGGAGGCAGAGGTTGCAGTGAGCTGAGATCACCCCACTGTACTCCAGCCTTGGCAACAAGAGCGAGACTCTGTCTCAAAAAAATAAAAAAAGCAGTTCTTTCCCTGATCGAACCTTGAGATGAGACCCCAGCCCTGGCCAAGTCCTTGCCTGCAGCCAGGGAGAGACCCAGTGCCACAGGACCCAGCAAAACCATATCCAAATTCTTGACCCTGGAAACTGAGAGATAATCAATGCTTGCTGTTTTCAGTCATTAAGTTTTAGGGACATCTGCTACACAGCAATAGGCAACTAACAAGGGGTAAGAGTTTGGATGATCCTCCAGGTCTACCCAACATCTGAGGCTGGACACAGGACATGACCCCCTCCACAACGGCACACTCTAACGTTTGCACTGGCGCAGACCTCACCTGTGTGTTGCTTGGGATGATGCAGGGCCTATCAATCACATCTCCCCAGGCGCAAGAACACTTGGTGGTCTGCTCAAGGCTGGACAGAGGGGAAAGGGAGACCTAGGACTCAAATACTCACTAACTCCCAGCTAAGGCTGGATCAGGGCATGTGGCCCTTTTCTGTCTGAATAAGCTGCACATCAGTTCTGGGCTGGGGTACCTGTCTCCTGGTCCCTCTCCTGTCCCTCAGAACCCAAATACAGGATCTGATGCAATGCTCTACCACAAGGTTACACCACCAGCTAATTCTGTGGGAAGGTTTCTGGCCCTACGTTCTGAACTTGGGGCACAAACGGCATTAGCCACCTCTCCCTCCCACCACCCCCCTTCACCTCTTCCATTGCAATGGTATTCTCTGAAAATGCCTTACAGATGCCAGAGCCTCAGACACAAACTGGTCCCTGAGCAAGAAGCCACAGGAGCCTTGGAGACATTCTGACGATGCTGGGTGCCAAAATCATCCAAGAAAGAGGTGGCGGGGTATGGGGCAGGAGAGTCTGGTCCTAATTCCTTGTTTTTCCCCCTAACTGGGGGAGCTGGGAAAGGAATGTAGATGAGCTGATTCCTGGGGCCTCCCCCAGGCTGGTGGTTCCAGGATTCTATGCCTGGCCCAGGCTTTAATCCTTTCATGTGGCCAGCCATCAACATAGACAACTTCCCCATCAGGTCCCGTCCAGACCATGGTCCCCAGTCTCCGCTTTGCAACTCTGCCTTCTGTGTAGGACTCCTGCTCAGTCACAGAGACGGAGAAGTCAAGGCCACCTGGGGTCTGGTTCCAGACTGGGCTTTGCCCTGATTTTCCTCTCCTAAGCTGACAAGTGCTGCCCGCCATCTGCTACCACCTGCCCACTTGCTTGTCTTTACCCACACAGCCTCCTGGCCAGCTGGGCCTGACCCCTTGCTTCAGGACCACATCTATTACCTCCAATAAAATGCAAACCCCCAAGTTTCTGCTGCTGAGAATACCCCCACCCTGCTCCCACATCCTGACATCTCTTTGACATGGATGGGGAGCCTGTTCCCACGTCTTCTGCAGGCAAGAATTGATTAGGGCAAGAGGGTTATTCTTAGAGAGCAGAACAGAATCTTTTTTTTTTTGTCAGTGAAAACACATTTTCAGAACCAGTCCATTTTCAGACATGAAAGCTCGGTGTTTTTCGGAATGCCGCTGTGGTTCCGCTCAGGGAGGCAGGCTCTGGAATCAGGCTGCCTAATCAAACCCAACTGCACCACTTACAAGGGCGACAGACCTCAGACATGCTGCCTAACCTGTGCACCTCCATTTCCTCATCTGTAAAATGGGAATGAGAGGTTCTCCGTTTCCCAGAATTAGAACAAAGAATAAAGGAACACAATGCCTAACACCCAATAAATACCTGTCAAATGTTACCTAATTTAGTCACAAGCATTAATGTGACGTAGCATGAGGGACTAATCTTTTATTCCTTAGTGGACAGATGGGTGAGTGAATATATCTTTATGCTTCTATGTAAGACTGCACTATTTTCCTAGCAAATAAATGAAAAGTCCTAGAACTGTTAATAGAATGTGCAAGGCTCATTTCTAGGCCCACCTCCACTACTGACAAGCTGCATGACTCCCTCTCTCTGGGACTTAGTGTCCTCATCTGCAAAAGGGGTGGGCTGCACTAGTCTCAGCTGGGCCCTTGTGGCTCCATGACTTCACGGCCAGGCCCCTGTAAAGCAGAGGCCAGGCGTTCCAAGCAGGCGCTGCCGGCCTGGGTCAGGGCGGGGGTGCAGGACTGAGAATAAAATAGCTCGCGATGGCCGTGGGGAGGAAACTCCACAGGGAGGAAGGGAAAAGTGATGGAAAGTCTAAAAATACCCCTGGCTCCAGAGCCCTCAGCAACCAGCAAGCCCGTGGACAACGGAAGCCAGACGGAACACAGCCGATCACGGAGGGGCTGCTGGAGAGGCCAGGGGCCCAGAATAGCTAAGGAAGGAAAGATAAATAGGGAAGTTCTTTAAATGTGTGGCTGACCGCAGTCAGACCATGGGAGCCGGAAAAGAATGGAGCTATTGAGGGAGATGGGAGCCAAGGGGCAGGCTGGGGCTGGGGCTGGGGCTGGGGCAGGAAGGGCGGGGTTGGAGAGGGAGGGCTGGCTCCCACCTCCTCCCAGCTGGAGTCCTGTGGCAGGTGTCTAGCCGACCTGAGTCTCAGATTCCTGTCCAGAACATGCCGGCCTCTCCTTTGGCATAAGAATCCAAACGGGGTGGACGGGAAAGTGCCTCAGAAGAAACGCTGTCAGGACCCAGGCCAGTGAAAATCCTTTCTCAGCCATCGGCACCTCTTCAAACTGCTCTGGTTTGGGGTTCTGTTGGGCGGGGGGTGGTGATGTTTATTTATTATGTTAAAAATCTTTTTTTATGATGGTGTGGTGTAACAAGCCCGTAGAACGGGGACTGGCACGCTACAGTCTGCGGGCCAAATCCTGCCCACCATCTGTTTTGGTAAGGAATTCATTTACATATTATCTCTGTTCCTGGCATGTTCCCACTACAAGGGCAGGGCTGAATACTTGTGACGGAGACGTCTGGCCTATAAAGTCTAAAATACTTACCATCTGGCCCTCTACAGAAAAATCTTGCTAACCCCTGGTATAGAAAAGTATACACATCGTAAGTGTACAGCTTGTTCAATTTCCACAAACTGAACACACCCATGTAACCCGCACCCAGCTCAAGAAACAGAACCCAGAAGCCCCCTCTCCAGGGGAGCCGCTCTTCTGACTTCTACCGGCAATAATTAGTTTTAGCGCTTTCGCCCTTTCTCTAGGTAGAGTCTTCCAGGATGAACTCTGTTTGCGCCTGGCCTCTTTTGCTCACCATTGTGAGTTATCCATGTTGCTGTGTGTAGCTATAAATTGTTCATTCTCACTAACACACAGTAGTCCTTTCTGTTACTAGACTTACTTATCCATTCAATGAGCACTGGGCATTTGGGGATTTCTAGTTTGGAACTGTTAGGAACAGTGTGCTAAGAACATTCTAGTTTGCATCTTTCAGCAGATATGCACACATTTCTGTTGGCGACATACCGACAGGTGGAACTGTGACTTCTGAAGCTTTGTATTATTGGGTGGGGTGATTCCATCCTAGCCTACACCTCACTGGCTGCTCGCTTACCAGGTGCTTGGTGTCTAGAACTGGAGGGAAGGTAAGCAGGGCCTGTGAGCAGCCGTGGTGTCAAAGATGTTAAGGCCCTGGGCCACCCCAGGTGCTGGGATATGGCACCCCAGGGCAAGTCACCAATAAGCAATTAGTGCCCCGGACTATGGGGGCTCAGGAGAAAACGCTCCAAAGCAGCGTGTCCCAAAAGTCAGCAACGGAGCCCCAAAGTCATGAGTCAGAGTCAAAAGAACATCAGGAACTGCAAACCCCACGCTTCCAGGGGAGCTGCAGGGCCGCATCTGCCAAAGAGGGGCTGGAAACACCCAAAAGAAAGAAACCTGCTCACCTTAGTGAAACTCAAGGTCTCTCCAAGCTACTTGGCCGGAGAAATCGTCATGGATAGAACGCCCACTAACCTTCTCAGAAGGAGCTTGCTACAGAGCACACTTTGGGCATAGCTGCTCTGAGGCTCCGTGTTGCGGTTTTGTAAGGATAGTCCGGCCCCAAAGCTTGAACCCCAGAACTGTGTCTCTCCGAGGCCACCTGGAGCAGTTCTGGGGGAGGGAACGAGCATCTCCTCTGCCTCCCACCCCAAGCCCTTGCCCCTCAGCAGCCCACGAGGAGGAAAAGGTACTCACTGCTTTGGGAGGCTCCCTCCCCTGAGGTGGCTTCGGTGTCTGCAAAGAGAGAGAGAGTAATGGGGGTGAGCCTACCGGCCCAGTGATAGGGCCAGTGCCAAGCGCAAAAGAACAGGGAAGCCACAGGGGAAGAGCTCACAGTCCTGCCCTGGGCCCCTGATGTCAGCCTCTCCTCCCTGCCTGCCAGGCTCCAGCAGGAACAGACGCCATCCCTCCTGTCCCCGATTCCCACGCTTGTCATGAGGAACACAAGCACTGACCCCAGCACGTGCCCTGTGGGGACCACTGAGCCAAACAGTGATGAGCTATCCTGGGAGGCGTGAGGCCCGAGGGAAGCAGGTATGTCCTTTGGAGTCCTCCTCCCACATCCGTGCTATCCCGCATCAGGGGGCCTCCCTTCTGCCTGGCACCCTGCCCTACTGATGACAGTGGGAGGAGAATGGGAAAGGCTGGAGCTCTCAGGGCCTCTGGGGTCACCCACAAGGGGCCCAAGTGGGAAACAGACAGGCAGTGGGAGGTGTGGCTGTGCCCCAGCAATCCTCTCACCTCGGTGTGCCCGCACGTGGGTCTGGAAGCAGTTGTAATATTTGTACTTCTTGCCACAGATTCCACATTCGTAAGACCCTGGAAAACAGAAGAAGAAAAAACTTGTCACCCAACCTCTGTGACCGCAAGTTCCCAGGACCCACAGGCGATGCCTCCAAGTGTGGCTGACTCTGAGTCCTGGGGTGGAGAGGGTCCCTAGCAAGGAGGCAGCACTGAGCTAGAAGTCAGGAGGCCTGCATCTAGACCCAGGTTTGCCTCCCATTCTCTGAGTGACCTTGGGCATGGCAACCCCACCATCTCTGGGCCTCAGTTTCCAAATATGTAAGATGGAGAAGGTAACTTCTTTAGCTAACTGTCAGCCTTATACCTTGAGGGGAGAAAGAAGATTAATGTAGAAGTGCTCTGAAAGGAATAAATTGCATCCACATAAGGAAATCATTATTTAAATGTATTATAATAATTTCTAGTGACCCCTTTTCCTTGCTGGGATGGGACAGAGATTAAGACAGAGTGAAATGGACACACCTGGGTCCCTGTCCCTGTGCTGTCACTTACCAGCAGCATGACCTTGGTAACTTTTTTTTTGAGACAGAGTCTCACTCTGTCTCCCAGGCTGGAGTGCAGTGGCATAATCTTGACTCGCTGCAACCTCCGTCTCCTGGGTTCAAGTGATTCTCCTGCCTCAGCCTCTCGAGTAGCTGGGATTACAGGCGCCAGCTACCATACCCAGCTAATTTTTACATTTTTAATAGAGACAGGGTTTCACCATGTTGGCCAGGCTGGTCTCAAACTCCTCATCTCAGGTGATCCGCCCGCCTCAGCCTCCCAAAGTGCTGGGATTACAGGCATTAGCCACCGCACCTGGCCTGACCTTGGTAATTCCGTTAGATGCACTAAGCCTCACTCTGCTGATCTGCAGAATGGGACCACATGCACCTACCTCATAGGGGTGGCCCTACACTCCCTGTAGGAAGTTCCCAGCCCCACTACAGACATGCTCAGCAAGAAGAGGACCCCCCATACCTGCTGAAGAGTTATCTTGTTCCCTTAGACACACAGACACCGACGTGGTGTAAATGCCTGCCTCTAGCCCTTTCAGCTCCTTGCCAGGCCCTTCTCTCAAGAGCAGGGAGACTGAACTGGCCGAGCTCCTAGTGGGCACTACAGGGAGGTTAAAGGAAGAACCTACCCATGCAGAGGCCAGAGCAAAGGCTTATGGTAGGAGGCCAAGAACAGCCCCTCAGATCCAGCCTGGCAGGGGCTCCAGGGGCAGAGTCCCTGCCTGCTCCCCATCAAAACCTGATGCCACCTGGGCCCATGGCTTGCCCTTCCTAACAGAAGGGCCAGGGAGTGTGGACAAATGCAGAGGCCTCAGCCCACTCCAGGCTTTGCAATCTAGAGTGGCTGGGGTTAAGAACCCCAGGGAATTCTGGTACCCAGCATCTGGGGATGGGAGAGGCAGAGCTGGGCTAAGAGTCTTCACTCTGCCATTTACTGGCTGGGCCTCAATTTCCTCGTGGGAAAAATGTGGATGATTCAAGAGTGTTGGTGTGAAGACCGAGTTTCCATGAAGAGTGTTCCCAGCACAAGACGAGACCCTCCGTGAAGGTGGAGATCATTAACTCCTACTCCCTTGGTCTTGCCTGGAAGCAGCGGCCCATTTACTGGGGGGAGATCTGAGGTAGCAGGTAAAGCTAGAAGAGCACCGATGTGGAGTCTGAAGCCTAGTTCAGCTCTGCTATCCCTTAGCTCAGGGGTCTCCAATGCTTTGGCTTCCCTGGGTCACACTGGAAGAATTGTCTTGGGCCACACATAAAATATGCTAACACTAATGATAGCTGATGAGCTTAAAAAAAAAGAAAAAAAAAAAAACACAAAAAAACCTCATAATGTTTTAAGAAAATTTAAGATTTTGTGTTGGGCCTCATTCAAAGACATCCTGGGCCACATGCAGTCGTAGGTGGTGGGTTGGACAAGCTTGCCTTATCTGTTTCATCTCAGACGCATCCTTTTACCTGTCCAAACCTCCATTTCCCCCCTGGCAAAATTGGCCTCTGATTTCTACATTTCATGACTGAAGTCCGTATCTGATAACCAGGTTCATCCTGTGAGTCGGCTGGCACACCATAGGTGCTGAGGAACAGGAGCCGGGGCCACTGGTACTACTGTGGGTCACTCTAGGGGCCGCTGTCATCCTAACACCAATGTGGGATTTACTAGCCTGTTATTTAGTGGTCTGCATGTGGATTACCCTTGTCACACAGGGAAAAATACAATCATGTGGAGGGCAAAGATCAGATTGCATATTTCTTTGTATTTAGCCCTGTGATTGGCACACAGCGAGGGCTCCATAAATCCATGGTATCTTGCTGTTGTACTCATCTGTCACTGAGTAATAATGCCTCCAACTCTCTGCTACTGCCTCCACCCACTCTTCAGCAGTTTCTGCCAATTCCCCTTCAACCAGTGAAGAATTTACAGAGTGCCTGCAATGTGCCGGCACTGAGGTCCCAGCAATGAGCAAGATGCATTCCCCGACCTCCGTGTAACGGGAAGCAGACGGGCCAGCTGGCATAGACAATGCAGGGTGATGGCACTAGGGCAGCAAGTGTGGGGCCTGGGGGCACAAAGGCAGGACCCTGGCCCAGCCACAGTGGGGGGCCCAAGTCAGTGGAGCGGACACTGTTTATAGCCAAGCCAAGTCCCGACTGGCAGGCCGTGGGGGGTTCACCCTAAGCTGTGGGAGAGCTGAGGGCACATGCAGCCTTGCCCACAGGTGTTACCGTACAGAGGGAATCATGGGGGGCATGATGGCTCCTCAGCCTCTCCTCGGCTGGCTCCTGACCCCTGATGCAGTGAGGCAGCATGTCTGGCACATGGAGTCTCTGGATTGAGCACCATGTGCTGGCAGGAGGGACCCTGAGCTGCCCCCTCATGCAGCCTAAAACCCAGGGCCCCTCCTGCACTTCACTCAGCCTAAGACCTAGGGCCCCGCCTGCCCTTCACTCAGCCTAAGACCCAGGGCCCCGCCTGCGCCCCACTCAGCCTAAGACCCAGGGCCCCGCCTGCCCCCCACTCAGCC